TTGAATTGCATCTATATAAACTTCCAATTTAAACATGAAGCATATGAAATCCTTTCCAACATAACCAAAATTCTTTTTATTGAATGTCACAAAATACTACTATGGAAATATGCAAAAAGACTTTCCAACATAGTCATGATTCATGCTATCTTTTATTAAGTTTTGAGACAAACTCTACATGCAAGAGTCCAATAAATCTTGAGACAAACTCTACATGCAAAAGTACAAACTCCATGTTAAGTTTGATTTGCAACTGCAAACATCAACCTATGAGATTTTTTGTTGACAAGAAGAGTGTTAATTAACATTATTAAAAAAAAAAACTAAATACAAAATGTTAAAGATAATTTAAGAAAAGAAACATGTGTAAACTCATCTCTTTTTTTTATAAGAATTCATGAGGATTTCCAAAATATAACCTTGCACTCATAATTGAAACACAAAGTCAATGGATTTGTCTAGCATGTTTTCCAGACCTTACATCACATAATATCAAACATATATGTATGTCAAGATTCATAAATGAGTACAAATACATCACCGTACCTACAATTCATTAAAACCAAGCATGTTTACATCAAAACCTTGGCAAATTATGACAACATTTACTTCTCCATGAATTATGATATAAGAAATATAGCAAATGAATGTGAAATCTAAAACAAACAGAAACATTTATTACTATTTAACATCAGTCATAAGTTTTATTTTAAATAAATAAACTATGTTCCATTACCTACGCACAAGAAATTTTACATTCAACAAAGAGCATTGGATGAAAAGGAGATTGTGTTTGATAAATTGTATGCTAGAATTTACTTATTAGCTATGATTTGGAGAAATATTTTGTTGTAGTTTCCAAACATAGAAGAATAAGAGAAAGAAGAAGAAGAGGAAGAGAAAGAAGGAGAGGAACAAGAAAGAAGAAGAAAGGAGGAAGTAGAGGAACAAGAAAGAAGAAGAAGGGAGGAAGGAGAGGAAGACGAAAGAAAGAAAAAAAAAAGAAGTAAAAGAAGAAGAAAGGAGGAAGGAGAGGAAGGAGAAAGAAGAAGGAAGAAGAAAAAGAAAAAAAAAGGAGGAAGGTAAGAGGGAGAAAGAAGAAGATGCAGGAAGAAGAAAGGTATTACTGATTCTTGCTTGTTGGGAGGTCACAGCTCTCTCTGAATCGTACCAGCCTCTTATCCCTCTTTCACTCGTCTTGAGTCACATGGACCAATAACAGGGCCGAAATATCCCACCTCCCTCTCTCTCGGCCTCAGGAAGATACACACACAAGGCCATTGGATCATTTTCCTGATTTGGGAAAATATTTGAATTAGATGGAAAGTTAATTGGAGCTTAACCTGGGCCAAATGGGCTGATTTGGGTCAGATTTGGCCTAAATCAAGCTCAATTTGAATCGACTCAAGTCAATTTGGGTTCAATTCAATCCAATCAAATTAATTTGCTAAAATTGAATTCGGATCAGCGCTGATTTTGAGTTAAATTATGTTCGACAAGGTTCAGTTGAATTTATCGAGCATGATCAAGAGGGTCGGCATGAAAAAGTGAGGTCAACACATCTGACCAACATAGGATGGTTGTGGATCCATTACCATATTATATAAAGAATTTGAATGAATGGTTTTAATATCTCAAATCACACTAGGGGGTGACAAATGAAACTAGAGAGCTAATATCATAATAGACTTAAAGATATTAAAATTTCATGAGGGTTTCAAAATATGTTAAATAAATCATACAACTCATACTGCGAAGGGAACTAGTCTAGAAGGCATAAAAGAATTATATGACTCATGTTAGGGAATGAGATAAATCCAAGGGAGTCAACCCGATTGGTTTTGGTAACCCAGACTATACTTAGGATGATGAGCAAAACTGAGGAAATCAACCCTCACACGACATAAAATAAAGATTCCATGCTATGAAACAAAAATAATTAGTGTGCATAGAGATAAGTGCAAATATTCCTACAATGTGTTTTTATATAACTCTTAAGGACAACCTCATGATTTACATGAAGAATATCAAGTGATAGAGGAAAAATTGTGGTGGTCACAGACTGCCAAAAAGTAGGAGGAATCCTCTCAAGTAATATCTATATAAAGGAATAATTACAGGTGGCAAAGTAATGCCTCCTATGTCATGGCACTCTGTTTGTGGTGTTGTAGCGCTTCTTCAATTAAGGAAAGCTGGCTTTTTTTTTATGCACAGAAAGATAGGTTTAAATATCATTTTTATAAAAATGTGTAATTTGTACATGTTTTTTCTTTTATTAAGTAATAAAGTTCCCTTGGGAGAAAAGTATCATCAAGGAAGTCAGTGTCACAACGCTAGGTTAATTTTGAGAATTTTATATAAATATTTAAAAACATTAACCTAATATTTATTTTTATCACTTCATTCTCTAGAAAACTTAGGGAGAGTTGGAGAGTAGGAGGAAGAGAAAAATAAAGCTTGGGTTTTGAGGCTACGAAGTTGAATTTGTTCGTTAGGCCAATTGAAGAAACTATTCAATTTTAGGTAGACTTTTGTTATGTGAGACCTCGTTCCCTTACTGTTCCTCTCTGATTTGAAAATTTTTCTCTCAGGATCGTCCAGGACGATTTTAGATCGTCCAGGCCGATCGGCACTAGAGAAAATATCAGCCTGCAGATAGTTCTGGGAACCGTCCAGGACGATTTTTCTGGTCTGATCGTCCCGGGACAATTTGGCGATCGGCCGGGCCGATCAGACAAATGATATATGAGATTGAGATCGTTTTGATGAGAGAGAAAATTATTTTTTAAAACAAAATATCTGTTTTGAGGAGAGAGAAAGAGAAAGGGAAAAGATGGTGATTTATTGGATTTAAATAAATTTGGATAATGTTCCACCATGTAACTTTAGGTATGTTTAGAATAGATGATTTTGAGCATTTTGACATGGAAAAGTCAAAATTTAACCTTGAAGTTTTAAATATGTGGTTTTTTATTTTTTTTAATTATGTTAGTTTTAACAAAAAGTGCTATATAATTATAAAAACTCTAAGACAATATTATAAATGTTCTCCATGAATGATTTTCTAAATTATTATTCTTTAGTGTGTGTACACGTTCACCCATGCATACTACTATAATTATCATAAACGTGTTAATTTTGTGTATTTATGCTTTATTTTAAATGTCATTCATACATTTTGAATATGTTGATATTTATATGTTCATGTGATGAAATGTACATGGGATATTCATGTGTTGAAGGATGTGTGAGGAGAAAGAAGGTAATACAAGTGACAAATGTTTCATGTTATATGTAATACAATTTGAGTTATAAGAGCCTGTACACACATGTACTTTCTCCATCCATCTCAAATAGATGTGAGATGAATAAGTGGACGCGTAAGTTAAAGTGGAGTTATAAGGGGAATCAAGTTATATATATTTAATTCCTCCATTTATCAATATGATCTTAATTAAAATGATCATACTATATGCTCAAAAATTAATTTTTTTGCTCTACTAAATAGCCTGGGGTTTAAACTATCAAGCTAAGGTACTTCATATAAATACATATATAAAATCCTAAATGAAGAACTGTTGAAAAACTCATTAATTGCTACTTGTAATATTTGAGAGTGAGTTTCTTGATATAAAAATAGTGAGAAAATATAATAGTCTTCTGCTTCTGCTCAATCCATATGATCCACATATTTGTGAATCTAGTTGATTGAGAGTCTTTACTTGTTTTTATGGGAGATTTCGGATCTAAAAAATAATTGTAAAGATCATATTCATTTAGTTTTGGGGCTAGAGGTAGCTATATTTTCACATTGGAGTAGAAGTGGTTGTAGTGTTTCTTCCTTACCTTTGAAGGAGAGAGGCTTGTTTACCTTGTGATAATTAAAGGAAGGAGTAGTGAAAAATCCTTAGAGGATATTTCATGGGGTTGATATAGGTCCTTTATTAATGAACCATTATACATTGGTTTACTTATTTTTATTTTCAGTACTTTTACTTCAATGTTCTATGATGAGATTTAAAAATATGGTGAACTATATTTATTTGTGTTGTGAGATCGGGGAAAAGCTTTTGAATGATCATATATATATATATATATGCTCTCTTGCTTCTCTTTTAAAAGAAAAGTCCTTTAAATTTTTGTATTAAAAAAAGAAAATTTTTTGGCACTCGCTCTTGATTCCTTGAATTAGTTCTCATATATGCAATTCATCACACATAAATATATTGATAAAAAGTAGAAAATGAATTAAATTGTATCTTCGTTTGGGTTATAACCAATTTATTGTGTATGGAGGAGTTGATGCCAATGGTTTGTGGGCTCGCGAGAAGCACATCAAAAGAAATAGAATAACCTCATAAAGCATGCATAGTTAGTGCATATGTCATTCAAGGTGACAATGAACTTATAGCATACTTTGATGGATTACAAGAATTTTTTAGTGATGAAATTTCCCTTTTTAGAGAAAAAATTGAGGAAAGAGAAAAGGATGAGGATATGAAGTTGGTTGAAGAGTGAAAATGATGGCAAGGTGAAGAAGATCATGAGGAACAATGTAATCGTTGTAGAATATTAAAAAAATAAGAGAAATGTTAAGAAAAAGAGAGATGAAGAAAGACAGAGAAAGAGAGATGGAGCTAAGTATACTAACTTTTGAGAAAAAAAGAGGATGAAGAGGAGGAAGAACAAAGGCGCCAGAATGAATATAAATACTGAAAAGAGTATTTCATGATTTTTTGAAAAGAAAAGGGATGAATGTTTTTTTATATAATTTTTTTTAAGCCAAGACATTTGTAATAAAAAAAATACAATGTTACATCAGAAATTTAATTTGGAGGTCAACAATGCTTTGCCTAGTTCAAATTGATTCAAATCCTATTTTTGACTCATTTACTAAAAGTGTCCTTTAAATGTTAAGTTGGCTCAATTTCAATTCAGGCTCACTCGAACCATTAATCCATTTTAACATACTAATTTTTACGAACTAATTTGTGTTAAATAAAAATAAAGAAGCCAGAAAACCTATGGGACCTGCCGCCATCTCCTCCGCTGTTGCTTAGCTCCCACTCCCCATCTCCTTCGCCTAGCTTCACTTCCGGCTGCGGCCTCTGCTGCTCCTGCCGTGGTACTTAAAGGAGAAGCCAAAACATATCGTCGAAGAAGGTGAGAAGAAGAAAAAAGGAGAACATACGAAGTTGACCAAAAACCCTATTTTTAAATTGCGGATTGCGAAGGTTTTCTCTTGCCCTTGCGCATTCTTATCCGTTTCAACTTTACCATCTCTCTAACGTTACTTACTTTCTGACTATGTTTTTCTCGTTGCTTGAAACGATTCAAAGAAGAAAGGATGTATGTTGAGTTCGAAAACCATCGTTTTTAGTTATTATATACACCCATTGTTTCTCTATTCATGGCGGCATTGATGGCATTCTGAGCTTGATGTAATCGTTTTTTTTTTTCGTTTTAGTATCCATTTTTAATTTTATGCGGGAATCCTGGTTTTTGTGAATTTTGTTGCTGTGGTGCAAGAACAAGTTTGATGAATTTGTATGAATTGAAAATTCGATTTGATGATTCAATATGCCAAAAGTAGTTGTTGGAGTTTATGAGGGTTAGTTTCGATTGCTAAGGGTAATTTCAATCTTTAATAGTGATTCTAGGACTTGTAATTTTTTATACTAAGGAAAAAAATTCTTTTTAGTTTTTATATCCAGCTTTTGGGTTTGATAGATGATATTGTTTATCAAGTTTCAAATGGATAACCTAAGCAAAGCTTTAACTGTTTAATATTTTTGTTGATAGCCGAACCAAAGTGAGATTTTATAGTTGAACTTCCAATTCTGAGCTTTTTCTTATATCTCTGTATTTTGATAACAGGTTATGTGGGTCAAATTTCGTACCATCTTAAACAGTAGTTTGGAAAATGGAAAAGTTACTTAGTACTTCGCAAGGTGTTATAATCTCTCTTAACAAATAAGTCAAATTTAATAGAACGGAATGGTTTTGTTTGTTACTGTTTTTCAATGGTTTTCGGACTGAACAAGCTGAATGGATAGGTAGTTATAGGAGAAAGATAAAACAACGATGTATAGCAATTACAGCACAAATTGGCACTAGGATTAAACTCCTACTCATATAAATGAGGTAAAACATGAAATGCAGATTCTTTTTGTTTCATTGGATGGATTCCAGATCATGATATGTAGAGATGTCATCAAATGAATTCTAAAGTAAATGAAATCTAGAAGGCATGTTGGCTTTCATCCAATTAATTTCTCATCAAAGAGCAATTTCTTCTTTAAGTGGTGTTTCCTATGTGGCATTTGCTCATCCAAGGTTTGTGTGTGTTTCCTATGTGGCATTTGCTCTCTTTTTGCTCTCACAACAAAGCGGAGAAGCCTGTACATACGCTGTTTCACCTCCCCAGTGCGGTAGAGAACTATGACTCTTTTATAGGTAGAGAACCTCAACTCTATTTTCACCCTCCTGGTAATGGTCAGAGAATCATAACTCTATTTTCACCTTCCTGGTGATGGTCAGAGAACCACGATCTTTGGTGAAGAACTTCTTCTCCGGAGCCACATAGAATCCAAACAGACGCTTATAGATACTAGAGAAAATTCTTGTTTGGAGCAACCTTGAAAATTCCCTCATAACTTCTCCCTCACAAAATCTCTCTCTCTTCTCTCACAAAGCTCTCCTTTTCTTCCTCAAGGCTCTCTCTCATGAAATCTCAACAACCAAAAAGATCTTCTAACAAGAGTATTAAAAAATTTTAAGTAGTGGGCATCAAGAAACCCTAATTTTCAAGAGACTTGTATTCTATTCGTACAGTATGATACACGTATCGTACAGTACGATCAGTGTAATTCAGACTCGTCCATCAAGATCGTTCAGACGAACTGTTCAACCTTTATAGCATTTCGTACAGTATGATCATAACATTGTATGGTACCAGCTGTGGAAATTCCTTCTGTTCGTTTGGGACGATCCTTGAAATGGGCAACTTCGTACACTGTCGATTGTCCGAGACCGTGGACATCATACAATACAATCAGTACAAAAATCATGAATTTCTTTTGGTACGATATCTGGGACGACCAATTTCATACACGGGTGATTGTACAGTACGAACTGTATCGTACAGTACAATTGATCATAATAATTGTCATTGATTTGATTGCCTGATATTGAGGGATTAATTAAGAAAGATTTTAATTGTGGCGTACAATATGAATCAAATCGTACTATACGATCATCACATAATTAGTATCTTCCTTAACCTTTGGCAGCTAAGGTTTTGACAAAGCACAACAAATTGTACAGTATGAATTAAAATCATACAGTACGAAATCAAAATCATACAATACGATATATTTTAAAAATATTCTCTCAAAAATATTTTTCTCTCTCCTCCTATGTGTAAGGTTGCTCAGTAATGATGTCCACACAATTACATGATACAACTCAAAAAAGGAAAAAATATACATAATAAAATGAAAATTGACTATAACCCCAGTCTATCCAGTCTTGAGCTGATCAGAATTGCAAGTGAACGGGGGACTGATTTTTTGAAACTTTAGTACACAAAAAAACAAAACAAAATATCACAGAAACATAAGAAAGCAGTAACAAACACAATAATGTTTGTTATCATTAAAATCACAGTGCTTGAATCAGGTTTGCAATAATCTCCCCCTTTTTGATGATGACAAACATTGTTGTTTTTGGATTTTCAAAAAGTTACTTTCCTCTAAACTTTCTCTTAGATGAAAATCAATTGTAAGAAAAAGGAGTGTAAATTTTTTTTTATTTTAAATAATATTCAAACAACAACAACAACAAACCAGAAAATATTACTCCCCCTTTTGACATAAAAAAAAGAGGAAAAATAGCAGGAAGAAAAAACAGAAAACCGAAACAAGATACATAAAACAAACAGACTCAAAACAACTAACAATTCAAGGTAAATAAAAAAAAACATTACTATGAGAACTCTTGTGTGCTTTCTCCAAAGTGTAATAAATTTATTCAACAAACAGAAAAGACCAAATAAGATAAGTGTTGACTTTATTGCAACTAAAGGATTTTGATTCTAGAGTTTGCATACCTAGCTTAACATCTTCACAGGCTAAAATCCTTTTGTTTAAACAAAAATCTAATTCAAGAATTACAATTAGAACGAGAAACTTAAACTTTTTAGATTGATCACATGAAATATATCGAATAGAATATTACTGTAAAAGTGATTAATAAAGAACCAAGATTTTTCAAAATCAAGTATTAAACATAATATGAAACACAAGAATTTCTAAGATTTAATGATTTACTAGAAAGAAAAGCTAATTTAAGTTGAGCTCATTTTGTGTCACTTTTATCAGCTTTCGGCGTATATTACACATCTTTTGTTTTTGATACACGTAGTGCATCTTTTACTTTTGGCATCATTGTGTATCTTTTGATCTTCAGCTCATTTTGTGCCTCTTTTGAATTTTTTGCAAATTGCTTCTTTTCTAAATATTTAATAATCTTAATTGTAAAGATTATCTTCTAAATAGAGGAGAAGAGTAACTCGCTCTCTTATACAGGGAGAAATAATCTACAAAACAAACCCAGTATTTCTAATATGAATAAATAACTTGATTTATGAAAAATAATGAATCTCATTTATCAAATTATAGAATATATTTATGATATTAAAAAAATGCAGTAGAATGAAAATGTTTTTATTTCAATCTCAACTCTAATTCGATTTAGATTTTCAAGTTCACAAAAGGAATTAACATGTAAAGGAAATAAGAAAGAATATGTCGATTCATGAATTTTTATCTTTTTAGTTTTAATCATGTTAGCAATTTCTTATCTAACCTTAAGTAAGAATAGAAGTAATTTTATTACAACCAGAAAATAACATTGCAGTAAGAGTTCATTCATACAATACGATATAAGTCGTATAGTATGTTTTAGTTCTTACAATACGAGTACAATTCATACAATATGATCAATAGAAACAGCATGTTACTTGATTGAAAATTTCTCAAGCAAAGTGCATAGAAAACAACCTAACATTAAAAGAAATACAAGAACCTACTTGAAAGAAAAATAAATACCACTTGAAAGTGAAGAAATAAACACTAAGTAATATATATATATATATATATATATATATATAATTTAAAAGGATAATGACATAAGAGGTGATAGAAAGAAAAATGCGATACAGAAACAAAACAACGTAATACAAAAGGAAAACATAGACATAAAAAGAAAAGTACAACACGAATAGACTAGAATAGAGGTGGATTATGATGAGAAGGTGGCTATAGAGGTGGTTGGAAGAATTGGCTAAAGCTATCATATTGCTGCTGGATAGAGGTGAACTGCTGTTGGATATTTCCAAATTGCTCCGTGAACAAACCCATATCATTATCATGTTAGGTTTGCTGTTGATCCATGCGAGTCTCAAGTCTGTCAAATCGTTGAATCAACTCCTCGTATGGGTAGTGGTGAGGAGGTGGTGCAAGTGCAGGATCAGCTGTAGGATCAACATCTCTTTCTTCATCAAATAGTGGGTCTTCTGGATCCTGTTCCCTATGAAAAAACATACGGAAGGAGGCATCCGAGAAGAAGATTGGAGTGCGGTCAGGAGCAAGATATATGATGTTGTATTTTTTATCTAAGATATACCCAATCACATGTCCTAGAGCGATGTTTTGCTTTCTTCTAGTGGCTGTGAGTCAAATAGAAGTGAAGTTTTGGATGTAATCAATTAGCATTTGAACTTCATCCATTTAGGTGTTTGACATTATAAAGTAGGTGACAATTGATAGTAGAGGAGTGATGTTTATCCGGTCTCTAGCTTTAGGGATGATAGATATTCTCAGAACGTGCTAGATAACCTTGACATTTTGATTTAAAGTGTGAACCAAGGGTTGGTGGTAGTTAAGAGCAGCATTTCTTAGCAGGAGATTTACAACACTCCAGTCAAAATCGAATCCGGAGGCCATAGCAAGGGGTCTGTTTCCTTGGGTGTTTAATTGAAGATGGATTTCTATGTCCTCCTTGGTTATTATAACATTCTGACAACAAACACAGGAAGACATAACAGTGGCATCCCCACTTATCCTAAGATTTGTAAGAAACTCGTATATGATTTCAGAGTGGAAAGGATAGACCAAAGTCAAAAGAAATTGAAGTGCAATGAAATTAAAGAGATCCATTACTGGAAAGTTTA